AGTGTGCTCATCCAGCCACACCCACTTTTTGCTTCTTATTCTGTTTACCTTGTTTGTTGTCAAAACCCGGGCAGGGCTCTTTTTGTAGCAGGAACTCCTTTGCATGTTAGGCCACACACCCCTGATGTAACCAGTCCTAATGAGTTCCTGCTGTTGGGTGTGGCCTATTATGCTAATGAGTTCCTGCTGGGCGTGGCCAACTTGGGAGCCAGACGGGACTCCGTTCCTGTGCATTTCTGCCCCAAAATAGCCCTGCAAATAGTAGCCAGGGCTGACCACCAGGGAAGCTCAGGGTCACTACGCAGAGGCAGGCCATGGCCAACCACCTCTGCTCGTCTCTTGCCTTGAACGCCCCAAGGACGGGGTCGCCATGATGACTTGACAGAACATTATTCATTTCATTCACTGGGTTCCTCAGGGAGCCCCCTTTGACTCTACAGCTGCTGGGATTGCAGACCCCTGCCCCAAAAGGATGTTAATTCAAAGCAGTCACCAGTTCCCAGCCAAGACCCCCAGCTGAGCAAGGGCTGGTACCGGAAGCATAAATGGGACTGAACTCGGGACTCCTTGCAAACCCCGGGAAGAGGCCTATGCAGCTCTCTGCAAGCGCCTCCTGCACTTTGGTGCCAATGCCTATTCTGTCAAAATCTTGCAAATTTACTTCTTCTTTATTGCCACAGAGAGACACAACATAAACACCATATTGCAGGTACATGATTTTGGGACCTATAAAAATGAGGGGACGGGGAAACACAATTTTCTTTAAAGAGAGCAAAAAAAAAAAGAGAGGGAAGAAAAACAAACGAACACAGTCTGTGCGGGCATGAGTCTCTGTCATTCCTTTTTTTTGGGGGGGGGGAGTTTAGTGTTAGCAGAGGGACAGACACCCGCCACGTTTAAACAGTCGGACGCAACGTCACACATCAGTCATAGCGATGCACCTGCAGTTTTCGTGCCTTGCTCATCTTTACAAAAGATTCGCTTTGCAAACGTCATTGTTTCAAATATTACAATGTCAAGCCATGGCCTGTTATCTAAATCTGTATTTAAAAAAAAAAAAAAAAAAAAGTTGTACAAGGGAGCAGATTATAGTTTTTTTAGCTTGAGGCATCTTAGTAAGTTGAGAGAAATTGCAGTGTGACATTTCTGAAGAAATTATCTTCTGCCTTTCCTGTTTTATCATCATTCTGCAACCAACGGCTGGTTGAGGACCAATTTATGGAACTCTTTCGCGGTGAGATTTTAATTTTGTTTCGTGATCAGCTTATATATTAAGGAAGGACAGTGAGAGGTGACTTTTTCATAAAAAAGGGTTCATCACACAATCTCAAATGCCTGAACTGGAAACAACTCAAACCCATCTAGCAAAAGGATTCCGATTTGTTATCTGAAACACAAGCGTCATCCGAAGAAAAACACCATATGGCCAGTGTTCCCTCTAAGCTGAGTTAGTGTGAGCTAGCTCACACTTTTTTAGCCTCCGGCTCACACATTTTTGTCTTAGCTCAGGAAGCATGGTTCTAGAGCAAACTAATCTATGGAGCAGCCAAACTGCTTGCTCACAACTTTAATGCCAGTAGCTCACAAAGTAGAATTTTTGCTCACAAGACTCTCAGCTTAGACGAGGGATTGTTGCCCATGGCCTGATCCAATGCAATTTCACTTCAGTGTTATTTTAGCCCTTAATGCAACTCATAAAGCTAAATTTCGTTCTTCAGGTTAGACCCCCAAACTACTAAATCTGATATATCACCTCTGACGTCTGAGATTTTTTTTGCTCCGTCAAGCCCAGAACTTGTTGCGCTAACTCATGATGGCTGTTCTAGATCTCAGACAGTGGCCTTTCCTAGTCCTGGTGTCACTGCAGATGGCAGGGACTGAACCTGGCGCCTTCTGCACGCGTACTGAGCACTCTGGTTCTGAGTTAGGATGCTTCCCGTAGTGAGAGCCAAAGAGTTCTGCTGCAGGACCATTACGTTCTGGAGGCCTAGAGAGGCAGGAAGGGAGGAGCGCAGAGCAGATTCAGTCAGAAGGCAACAGGCTAGTCTTCCTTTGTGTCTGCCATGGGCCATTCACTGTTGACCCCGGGGGCTGCCCCCTGTGGTACGGGACTTGCTTCACTAGGGGGACTAAGCAGGACACGGAAAAGGAGACTAGCGGAGGTGAGCAAAGATGGACAATGGTGGGGAAGGAGGAGGAGGAGGGGCAGCTGCCACTACCAACCCGTGGGGGGGGCCTCAAAGGGAGGGGAAGTTTCTTGACTGGAGCCCAGAGGAGCAAGAAGACGGCGGGATTAGCAAGGGCATTTCAGTGGGACTTCCTTTGTCAAAGGGAAAATGCTGACAACTGGCATTCTTGGGATTTTTTGGTCTCCAGAGTCCGGGATTTAAACCTGCATGTTAATCGCTTTCTCTTTTTAAAAAAATAAAAATCTGAACGTAGCGTCATCCTGGATTACTGACACTGGTATGTTCCGTTGAAATTAACTCATAAGTAAAACTGTGTTTCTGAAAATGGACTACATAAAGCCACAGCAATAAGCCGGGGAATCGACTGCACTGTGGTTGGTGTCTCTATGGTGACTCCCGGGCAGCCCCAAAACTGGCAACAGTTTGCCACTACCGTTTCTAATGACATATGAATTTGTAAGAGTCTTTATTTGGTTCTGTTCCCTTACATATTTTTTTTTCTTTCACCACCTTTTCGAAGGCATCAAGTTCTACCGGGGGTGTCACAGGGCTAAACGTCTCTACCCAACATGCACTGGGGGCCACGACCTTTAATTGTGCCCTAGAATCCTCACGGGATAGAGGAACGGGAGCTGGGGCCAAGGGTTAACGTCTAAAAACACCCAGCCTTTTATATCGGCCCTATCAGCGGCCCTTTCATCTGGCGCCCTTGCCCAGTCTGAAGACTGATCCGCAGCTCACAATCTCCTCCCTCCCCACCAAAATCCTCTCCGGTGCCCCAAAAGCCCCCACACACACACAACTCCTGCCGCCAGCATACAAATTCCTCTCATCGAGGTCTCGTTTTCTACTGACCAAATAATTTCAAAACCATCTTTGGTTTGTAAATGCCGGCAATCACCTCGAAGCTTGCGCTCCTGGCTTTGGGTGGGGTTTCGGGAGAAGCCAACGCTGAGGCGTGCAGTAGCCGCCGCTAGTAGGCCAGTCTCTATGAGTGATTATGGGCATTATTTCCTTGTCCTAAAGACAACTCAGGGACGCTTGATTTAAACATGACACCGGGGAGGCAGACACACATTCCCATGAGACGTTGCATTTGCGCGACGTTCTCTTTAAACTGAGCGGCTGCTCGCGCAAGCCGTGTGACTGCTGTGCAAAGGTAGCGGCCCAGTTTAAACGAAATGTTGTGTGAATGCAAAGGCCCACGGGAATGTGTGTCTGCCTCTTCCCATATGTTCCCTCAAGAGCACTACGATCGGGGAGTCTCCGTCTCCTGGAAGTTCCAGGCCCCCAAGAGATTAAGTTTGCCCCTACTAGGGCCAGGGCGTTTTCGGTGGCGGCTCCTACCTGGTGGAACGAGCTCCCAGAGGAGATCCGGGCCCTGCGGGACCTTGTGCAGTTCCGCAGGGCCTGCAAGACGGAGCTCTTCCGCCAGGCGTTCGAGTAGGAGCCGCCGCCGCCACTATCCTACCACCGAGGTAGTGTGTCATCGGCTGCCCTGCTAAAAAAGGGGGCAAGCACGGCCTGGCAGAAGTTTATAGACAGCGTAGCGGGAGACCGCGCTACTGAGATAGCTGGCCGCCAAATCTGGGTGATTGTTCCCATCTTGGATGACAAATATAGGCATAGCACTGTGTTATAGGATGGATTTTATTGTGGTTTTAAATGTTGTATTCTATTATATGTTATATTGTATTTTACCTCGGTTTTGCCACATGTGAGCCGCCCTGAGCCTTTGGGAGGGCGGGATATAAATCAAATAAATAAATAAATAAATAACGTTAGTTTGCCTCCCTGTTGTCAGGTTTAAATCAAGCCTCACTCGTACAGAGCCTTGATGAAGACTGAAAGAGTCCTGAGATGGACCTCAGGTGTCCCACTGACCGCAGGGCCCAGATCTCCTGTTGACTTTTACTTTTTAAGGAGAAAATGTCTTTTAGTAACATTTTGGAATGAGAGAAGTGCCCTGTGTCCTAAGATTCGAAGCATTAGAATGGCTGTGGATTCAATTAGATTACAGTTGTGTTAAAAGCCTTTGCCTGGGACCCTGTCAAAATCTACTTACTGCAAGTGCATGCCAACAACGACCTTTTGCAGTGAAGCCGAATAGTTTTAGCCGGACACATTTTTAGAGATCTAGTCCACTCGTTTCCAAACGAGGTTTCTAATGGCTTGTTAGTGAGCAATTAGTGCAACACAGCTGGCCGTGCCACGAGAATATTTAGTGCCGAAATTTCGCAGCGATTTGCAGCAGAGACGAATATTGAAGGTTACCAATGACAGCATGCTGATATTCATTAGTTTGGTTTTTTTTTTTTAAAGGGGATTAGTTGTTGCTTTTTGCTACACATGAAGATTGGGTGTTGGTGATTAAGGGGGGGGACATACACCACATGACATTTGCGTGGAGTACCTTAAATCCAAGCCAGCAAGCCCAAATAACAGCAATAGCAAGTTTATTCCTAGCCGCCTCCTTCAGCCGCCTCAGCTCCCTTCGCGCCTGTGGTGCATTTGAAAATGAAGGACAGAAAAAATTTGAGACAGGAAAGGCTGCTTCAATTTCCCAGTGCAGAGAGAGAGAGTGAGAAAGGGGGAAAGAAACCAAGTCATTTTGTACAGTGAGAACGAAAGCGTGAGCAGGTTCGTGGAGGCTGAAACTTCTTAAGACTACAGTCATAGGAGGGGGCGGGAAACGCAAGTGGTGGTGTAACCTAAAGCAACCGAAAACGTTTCTCACTGATCTCTTCTGTAGAGGATCTTTGCTCCCAGTATGGTTCTAAAACGACCAGGAGCCTCTTCAGGTCTGCTCACCTGAACGCCGTGCCAATAGGCTGCAATGGTTGTGACCGCTTCTCTGCAGCGTTTCTGGTGCTTCAGTTCTCGAAGGAGCTTCCGGGCCTGCGAAAAAGCACCCCCCGCACAGAAAAAAGTTACCACGAGTAATACAGACTTGGGGCCCAGTTACATGTGATGCTGAAGCTCCTCCCGCTGAAGTGTAATCTGGATCTAGAAAACAGTCAAATGGGGCCCAAGATGAGCTAGAGCCAGCCCCGTATCTAGCAACTTTTTGCTGGGGGGCCCAATTTTTTGCTCCGGGGGCCAGCCATTATATGTCTGTATGGAGCTATGAGCATTCTTTCCTCCCCGCCCCAGACTGTGCTGGTTCAGATGGGGCTGATCGACTAACTGCAAATCAGTGTACTTCAGAGCTGTGGAGCGCACAGCTGGAATCCTGTGCCTTGTCTCGCACAATGGCTTCCCTGCGATCCCATGCAGCCCCCATTTCACTGACAGGCATGTAGCTACTGTGGAGCTCAGGGGGAAGAGAAGCCAAGGCTCAGTTTGGGGGCCCTGGAAGAAACGTTAGGGAGCCGGGCCCCGTGGGCCCCACATTAGCTACGGGCCTGGCTGGAGCCATTGGTCTGAGAAAGTGGGGTGGGTTAACTCCCCTCCTCCCCCCCATTATTTTCCGAATTGGAAATGGCCTGCCTGGGCTGCTTAAACCCTGGTAAGAAAAAAACCACACAGGTATGATTGTTCAGTGTCCATGTCCCCCATCTTTTTTTTTGGCCATCAAGGGACAGTTGAATCACGGCAACCCCTCGCAGGGTTTACAAGGCAAGAGACATTTGGAGGTGGTTTGCCACTGCCTGCCTCCGCGTAGCAACCCTGGACATCCTTGGTGGTCCTCCCATCCAAGGACTAACCAGGAACGACCCTACCTAGCTTCCAAGATTGGATGAGATCGGGCTAGCCTAGGCCATTCAGGTTAAAACAGGAGATGAACAGAGCTGGTCTGCCATTTCCTGCCTCTGCATAACAACCCTGGACTTCCTTGGTGGTCTCCCATCCAAGGACTAACCAGGAACGACCCTACCTAGCTTCCAAGATTGGATGAGATCGGGCTAGCCTAGGCCATCCGTGGTAGCTATGGGCCTGCTGCTTAGCTTCTGGGATCTTCTGAGATCAGGCTACCCTGGGCCACCCAGGTCAGGACAAATCGATGGTGATAAGTGCTGTCAAGTCATAAGAACATAAGAGAAACCATGTTGGATCAGGCCAATGGCCCATCCAGTCCAACACTCTGTGTCACGCAGTGGCCAAAACCCAGTGGCCACCCAGTAGGGCCAGATCTCCAGAAGCCCTCCCACTGTTGCCTCCCCAAACACCAAGAATACAGAGCATCACTGCCCCAGACAGAGTGTTCCTATCTATACCTTATGGCTAATAGCCACTGATGGACCTCTGCTCCAGATGTTTATCCAATCCCCTCTTGAAGCTGTCCGTGCTTGTCACAGCCAACCTATAGAGATCCCCCTAGGGTTTTCAAAGCCAGAGATGAGGTGGTTTGCCACTGCCTGCCTCTGCAAAGTCTTCCTTGGTGGTTTCCCAGCCAAATACTAACCACGACCCTACTTAGTTTCTGAGATCTGATGATATTGGGCTAGCCTGGGCTATTTGGGTCAGGGGTCTTTCCCCTGTACTCAGACTAAAAGCAGCAGGGAGAAGGCCATTTCTCATTCAGGAAAGGTCATGAAGGAGGAGCCCTGATTTGTCCAGGGTCCCTCCAGGAATGCTTTTTAGAGCAAAATTGCAAATCTTGACTCCCAAATTAAGGCACTCCAGTATCACATGCCATTTGGCACTCAGACAAGTGATGGGGCTGAACACGTCCACTTCGCTATCCCCTAGACCACAAAAAGACATCTTCATTCTTTCATCTAAACCTCCAGATTGAACTCATTTCTGCCTGCTATGTCTTGGGGTTAAAGGCACTAAACAGGCAGGGCTTTTAATGGAGCCAGAGCCTTTATTTCCTAAGAGATGTTTCCCGCGCACGAATCAGGTTGGCGCCCACACGAAATTTCCCAGGCTCATTTAGTTCTACTGTTGATTCGGGATTCTAAACCACAAACAATCCCGCTCTTAAAACACTCACCAGATTACATGCAAATGCAGATTCTAGAGGAAGCTCCAATGAAACAAGATTTTATTTTCAGCACATTAGTCTGAGCAACTTTTTTTTTTTAGATAATCCACATTTTACTCAACAGATTTGGACATTTCGGATTCTTATGGCAGAGGGAAAAGGATGCACTGGTATACTTGGTAAATGGACCTACACACAAGGTAGCCAAGATCTATTTCCAAACCCTGCTTGCTTCTTTTCTGATGCAAAGGGGAGCAGGGGTTCCCTGCCCGCTGCTTGTCTCCCTCACTATGCCCACCCACCCCCTCTCGCCGGGTCCCGTACCTGTGTTTTTTTTCCATTATCAGGAATGGAGAAAGAGAGTACGCAGGGGCCACCCCCCCCCCCCCCCCCCGCAAATTGCAGATTTCTATCCTGCCCGCCCCTTGATGGGCTCAGGGCGGGTTCCAACAATGTAAATACAATACAGCAATATAAAACTCAATACAATTAAAACCACATTAAAGCATATAAAACGTACTAGTAAAAAGCCAGCTATGCAGGGAATAATTTCCCAGAGATCTGTTAAATTTAAGGTGTAAATGGGGGCCGACCCAAGGAGGGGGACGCCCGCTGCCTCAACCAATTGCACCTTTCTGACACTGGTTTGCAGTCGAGGTGCAGCAGCTGGGATTTGAGAGCTGGACTTCAGGCCCTAATGGCTATTAATATCTCCTGGGGACTAAATGACCATGAGTGCTAGCCTCAGATCGCATTTCAAGTACATAAGGAGTCCCTCTCTTGCTTTTGCCTCCCCTATCCCCACCCTATCTTGCTGGTTCCATTTCTGTGCAGTTTGGCACCTTTCCACATGTGTTGCTGGTCAACTCATGGCCCCCTTCCCTTATTTTACCCCCTTTTTGCTGCAAAATCGACTCGTCACGCCGGAGAGGTAAAGTATCACCACACCAACGATACTTCCTGCTAATGCAAATGTCTCTGTATTTTCTACTACGAATTCTTAGTTCTGTGTACTGTGTGTGAGTGCTTGATTTTATGTTTGTATGCTTGAAAAACCTTTAGTAAAGAGATCATTGCTTTATTAATCCAGCCTCAGCATCTGTTCCTGGGTCCTGGGAATTCTGACTCCCGTATACGTAAGTTATGGTCCTGTAGTTAATGCCTAGTGCCATTTAACATTCATAATTCCCCACATTTATTAATAAGCAAGGCAATTTGGCTAACACGGGGTTAGTACTTGGATGGGAGACCACCAAGGATGAGGAGGGCTGCTATGCAGAAGGCCAGGACAAACCCCCTCTGATCATCTCTGGCCTTGAAAACCCTGTGAGGTAGAAATGTATGGGGACACTTTACCTTTTACAGTCATTCTCTGCCTTATGGGGAAGGAGACAGAGAGAGAGAGAGAGGGAGGGAGGGAGAGAGAGAGGGAGGGAGAAGAAAGGAAAGGAAGTTTCTCCTCAAAGCTCTACCCCTTGCATACGTGCAGAATAGCATGTACTATCTCCAAAACATTGATTAGTCAATAATCAATCTTAAAGTAATTAAGAATAGGACCTCCCTCTCTTTGGCGGGAAGATTCTACTCTTGCTATTCTCCTCCTAAACTTGCGATCATTAGCTTACAAAAACTTCAGCTTAACGCTTTCATGACTGAAGGGATGACAATTGCAAAAAACCAACAAGCAGTCTTCTAAATGTGGGACAGCCCCTCCCCACCAGGAGATCTTTCTGTTGGCTATAGGCTATGACCCTCAGCTAAGAACCTCTTGCCCTTTGCCCTCTGTCCCTTTCCATGTTCCACAACACACACAGAAAACCAAGAACACATATCAATATATCTAATTCTCAACATGGGTAAATCTGTGGATGCTTAAATCCAGAGACTGGAACCATGAACAGACAAGATAGATCTTTCTATAAACTTGAAGAAGCCCTAGATTTCTAGAAAGATCTCAAATCTAAAATAAAATAAAATAAAATCTAAAATAAACAACAACGGGAGCAGATTGTAATGGACGCTTGAGCGTTAAGCTCCCCAGATCCTTCCCCCTAAATCGCATATAAACCGACTTTCACCAAGCCTGCACAATTCACAAACATATCCCAAGATATGGGAAGAAATTCTGGACCGAAAACAAGAAACTCCACAATAGTGAGTAAAGGGGTCCCCTCTTATTTCCCGAAAACAGAGAGACTTGGGGCTCCTAGAAGCACTCCAGATAACCCTTCCAAAATGGCATCGGGCGGCACAGACCAACAGCCGGAAGGCCTCACAGTATCCCGGCAAGAGTTCCATAACTCTTTACAAGCCTTGGAAAAGAATATGTTTACCACCATTGCTGAGCTACTAAAGCCATTAACCACTCAGCTTAATGAACTTAAACAATCCATGGCATAGGTGACTTAAACCACCGAAACAACCATGGAAGCTAGCCTGGCCCTCAAAGATGACTCCTCTTACTTCTACAAAAGTGATGGACCACGGATAAAATCATTTCCTTGGAAAATCAACTGAAAGCTAACAATATTAAATTTAGAGGGATCCCCGAGAATGCTGAACAATCAACAGAATTGAAAATATATTTAGCAACTTGGCTGGCGAAAATCTTAGATCTCGAGGAGGGAATAGCGCCCATGATCGACTTCGCCTACAGAGTGGGTTCTTCCCGCGTGCGCCAAAACAACTTCCCCTGAGACGTAATTGCAAAATTTATGGACACACGCACCAAAACAAAGATAATTACTACTGACAGACCCAAAGGTTTTTTGCTCTTAGATGATGTAAAAATTTTGGTTCTACAAGATTTATCTACTGAGACTCTTCTACGACGAAAATCTATGAAACCCATAACTACAGCACTGATCAATGCCAAGATTCGCTACAAATGGGTTGCTTACTATAAACTACAAGTTCTCCACAATGGCTCTCTGCTCCATGCATCGGATCTCAACTCTGGAGTAAAATTGCTTCAGGACCTGCAACTTCAGCAGCCCCCGGACTTACCTTTGGACCCCGTACCCGAGCAGCTCGACTCTCCAACAGACCGGTGGCAATGGGCTAGAGCAAGACGCGACCACAAAGTAAAACGCACCTGATCCAGGACATACCTACCTCCCACTTGGTTTGCAATTTACCTTGGTATCAAAAGACAGGTACCGTAGGTACCGTTAGTGCAGCTTGGGTTTTAACTCCCTATTCTACTTCAAGGTTATGCTAGTGCCAGTATTAAGAAGGCTATATATTAATCATCAACTCTGCTTTAAATGTTGCACTATATATATTTATCCATTTATGCTTTTATTTTATGTCTTTGGCATAAGGACATGCACGGTTCTTTTTTTGAAAGCATCTTAGCTTACAATACCATGGTTACTAAAGTGTGATATATAAATATTTTATTAAATTGCACTCATAATTTCTTACTGTTAATAATAGACCTAATAGATTTACCAGTATTATGTTATTTTATTAGAAGTCAAAAGCTATAATTACCATTATTCTTATCTTAGCTCCTAGAAAGCATGCCAATGACTTTTATGCAGCCTGAAAATGAAGGTTTTATCTCTTTTTTCTTGTAATTGTTTTTATATTCTTATCTTCATTTGGTAGCACTGGAATCTGAAATGCCAAATTAATTATGCTAAAATCCATCACCGCTATTATTATTATTTTTATTTTATTTTTAAAACAGTATTTAACTGAATCCTATGTAACCTGATAATGAAGGATTAATCTTTTATAGTGAAATAGCACTTATTCATTTTTTCATTCTACTCCTAAGGCTAACATTTTAAATTGTTATGCTAAGTCAGAAGTATCAGACTTTTTTCTTTTTTACTGGCATTATTATATGCTTCAGGGAGTTCCTACTATTCAATAACACTATATTCGATAGGCTTAGACTATACTTAGCTATTTTATGTATCTCAGGGGGAAGACAATGAAGGACAATTTAGTCCTTCCTTGCTTTCCAATTTCCCTATAGAATTTCTACCATGCTACAGTCCTTCCCGGAAAAGGACTCAAGAGCGCAAGAGTTGGCTCTGGGTTGTTATAGTTCTTTGTTGATAGTTATGAATGTTATTTTTTTGTTAATGTTTCTGAACATCAAACATCGGTCAGGACTAGCCAGAGTAAAGAGATACCATCCCTGTGCGTGATCGGGACACTATACTTCTGCTGATCCTGCCCAAAATTGCATTTGCCTTTTTAGCCACCGCATCGCGCTGCTGACTCATCACATACCACCCTGCTGACTCACCACACCACACTGGCTCTCTGTACTTAGGTGTGGTTGGTTAGTATTCCTGATCATGGCACTACCATCTCCCACCGCAACTGTATAGGCTGGGATACTGGCAGAAGCTCTGGGTTCCAGCTCTGAATGGCTGGACGCTGAGACTATGTTGGTCATAGGGTCAGAAGAGGGCTGGGAAGACCCAGACTGACATCTTCATTCAGCCATGAAGCTTCTTGGCTGTCCCTGGACCAAGCGGCCGTTCAGCCTAATCTACCCCACAGGGTTGTTCTGAAGATAAAATGGAAGGAGGAGGAGGAGTCATACTTGGAGTCTCAGAGCGGCTTACAAACTCCTTTACCTCCCCATCCCCACGACAGACACCCTGTGAGGTAGGTGGGGCTGAGAGAGCTCTTGACAGAAACGGCTCTTTTTCAAGGACAGCTCTTATCAGAACTATGGCTTGCCCAAGGTCATCCAGCAGCTGCATGCGGAGGAACAGGGAATCCAACTAGGTTCTCCCAGATTAGAGTCCGTGCACTTAACCACTACACCAAACTGGCTCTATGCTTCTGGAGGAGGGGAAGAACCACAAGTGACTCTCCTCTGATCCTTGGAGGAACGAGAGGATCAGGATACAAAGAGACAGCAGTCACGGGGGGGTAGGAGAAGAAGAGAACATTCAGAAGATACAGACTCACCTTCCACCCTCTGATATAGGACTGGACCACGATGGCAGAACTCTTGGTCTGCTGGTACCTCTTCTGTTGCTGTAGCAAAGACAAACATACGTACGTGTCAAAGTGGTGAATCAGGATTCGAAAACAAATGAGCACTGATTGAATCATAAACGGTTACTTATACACACACACACACATCTGCCCAGGCTAGCCCGGTCTTTTCAGTTTTTGAAAGCAAAGCAGGATCAGCCCTGGTCCATATTTCGATGGGAGACCACCATGGAAGCCAAGGGTCACGGCACAGAGGCAGGCGATGGCAAATCCCCTCTGTCCGTCTCTTGCCTTGAAAAACCTACTGCAGGGCAGGGCTCCCTCTAAGCTGTGGAGCCTTGTGAGCAAAAATTTTACTTTGTGAGCTACTGGCATTGAAGTTGCGAGCCAGCGATTTGGTTCCTGCATCAATTAGTTTGCTCTGGAGCCATCCTTCCTGAGGACTTCTTTCCCAAAGAGGGATTCACACATGGAATTCACTGCCACAGGAGGTGGCGGCGGCTACAAGCAGTCCGGCTTCAAGAGGGAATTGGATAAGCATATGGAGCAGAGGTCCATCAGTGGCTATTAGCCACAAGGTATAGATAGGAACTCTCAGTCTGGGGCAAGTGATGTTCTGTATTCTTGGTGCTTGGGGGGGGGCAACAGTGGGAGGGGTTCTAGTGTCCTGGCCCCACTGGTGGACCTCCTGATGGCCCCTGGTATTTTTGGCCACCGTGTGACAGAGTGTTGGACTGGATGGGCCATTGGCCTGATCCAACGTTGGCGTCTCTTATGTTCTTACGTTATTTGTTATGAGAGCTGGATCTGACAGAAATGTCACTTTGCTGGGCCGGGCCAAGGCCATCTGGGCCATAAAATGTAAGGTCAGGTACCGGAGATGTGAACTGCATAAAGGACAGCAGCTGGTAAGCTCCAAGTTGGTGCATCCTCACTGCAAGGCCCCCATGGGCTGGGAGGGGGGTGCAAAGGAAAACTCATATGGGCGGACTTGGAGAGCCAGCGGTGCAGCACTGGGCGGATGCTCCCACGCTGCTTGACTGCTACAGACGAGGTTGTTCTGCCACGCTGAAGCCACAATCCGAGTGGCTCCGCCCACTTCCCCCAAGAACATTCTCCTGTTCCCTCCCTTGCACTAGTTGCTCACGGGACACATAAAAACCCTGGACGGGCCAGTTCCGGCCCCCGGGCCTTATGTTTGACATCCCTGCCCTACTGGGTTGCCATAAGTCAACTTGCAACTTGAGAGCAAATAAATAAATGAATAACACAGACACACACACACACACAAACAGAATGCTAAATAAAAACGTGGTACAAAAGTAAAACCACACAGATATCTATATATACACTTTATTTTAAATATTTTAACGTCTCATGTTCGCTGCCTTGGGAAATGCATTTGGGCAGCCGATTGACTCATACGCTAAGTAGATCTCAAGTATCTACATGCGTGCCCCCTTGGGGGGAGGGATTAACTACACTGGGGCTGCAGTCAGGATACAGTGAAAAAGCAAGGTTAACTGCTGTATCTGTACCGGGCCAACGTCTATGCTAGTTTTGCTACAGCCTTTCAAGTTTAGTTCAAAACGCTATTGTTGACTTCCAGTAAGTACAGATACATTCCCAATGTGCTGTCTGGCAGATATGAAACTCTCCCGGCAGCGGCAGACACATCCAGGTCTAGACAAAGCAGTGATACAGAGCTGTCTGGATTTCACAGCAATTAATTTTCTTTCAATTTGTCTTGTATTTCAGGAATGCACGACACCGTGCTTCAATTTTAAAGAACGATTACCTGCATGGAGCCCTCCAGACAGGAGAGGATAAGGGCCTGCGTGAATCAAACCCTGCCTTACCGCGTATCTCCTGATCCAGGCAGCGATCACAATCTGACTCTTCTTCATGAGAAGGAACTGCGTACGGCGCTTCCAGCCCCTGTAGATCTTCTGGATTAACGTTGCCAAATCCTCGAGGCGTTGTTTCCGCAGGTCTTCCAACTTGAAGAGCTATGCGGGTTGGGTAGGTTTGGAGGGAGAAGAACAGAATAAGAATATTTTGCACACACGGGGAACACAAGTGAAACTGCCTTATACTCATTAAAATTCCATTGGTCCATCGAGGTCAGCACTTAACAATCTTTACTTTAAAAGTTGGGCCTTGTGTTAATTAAATACATTTAATTAAAGGGTGTTATGATGCCAGCCATGAAAGCTTCAGGTTAAAGGTCAGTACTGTCTACTCAGACTGGCAGCATCTCTCCAGGGTCTCAGGTGATGTTACCCAAAGTCAGAGGTCATTTCGGGGGGGATCGCAGAGGATCACAGTTCCCCCGGGTGAGGTACGGGGGGCGGGGGACATGACAAAGCCCCGCCCCCCGCTTCCGGCCCTCATTCAGCCAGGAGGAGGCAGGAGAAGAGGGAGGGTAAGTTGCTTCCTCCCTGCCTCTCCCCACCCCTGCCTCCCTGGGGCCAGGGAGGGCCTTTGCGGGGCTTCCTCGCACTCCTGCCGGCCTTGCAAGTCCACCGCCAGGCCCCTCATGGGGCTCGGCAGTGGAGCTGCAAGGCCGGCGGCAGCCGGGACCGTTGGGGGCGGGGTGTGTGGCCTTATGACACACGTCCGGTGATCTCAGGGGGTGTGGCATATGCTAATGAGTTATGCTAATGAGTTCCCCTAGCTCTTTTTCTACGAAACGACCCCTGCCCAAAGTGGTTGTTAAATCACAATTATCTTAGTGAGAGGGCAGGTATTTTGGGATCTTCACCAATGCATACCAGGATCTTTCCCTTAGACAACTCTCAAGATAAACCAGGTGGATGTTCAACCGGCAAGGTTTTTTATTGAAAAATAATAAAAGAGCAAAACGCACATACAAAACACACGTGGAACAAACAAACTAGAAGAGGAGGAGATTGGATTTGTACCCCACCCCTCACTACCCAGAGGAGTCTCAGAGCGGCTTACAAACTCCTTTCCCTTCCCCTCCCCACAAAAGACACCCTGGGAGGTAGGTGGGGCTGAGAGAGCTCTGACAGAAACTGCTCTTTTTTCAAGAACAGCTATGCCAGAACTATGGCTTGCCCAAGGGCATCCAGCAGGTGCACGTGGAGGAGTGGGGAATCAAACCCGGTCCTCCCAGATTAGAGTCCACACAATTAGCCACTACACCAAACTAGCTAAGAGGATAAACAGGGACGAGTAGGGAAAAGCGAGGGAGTTTTGTAGGAAAGCAGTGCAGATGGATCCACTATTCTCCTGCCTGGAGATTGGGAACCCAAAAGTATTTGTGTGCTAAGAGCATGAGGTACTGCTTAATGACGCAGTCGGTTTGGCCTTGAGAGAGGGGGAGAGACAGAGATAACAGAGAACTTGCCTGCAGACACACATTCCTTAGTTCATGTCTCATGACTAGGATGCTGTAATGTATGAAAAGGGGGGGAAACTAGAAACTAGAAGCTTATAAATAAACGCTGGGAAGCCGAGAGGCTTCAGTCAGTTCCTGCAGACTTATATCCTGTCATCTTTGCATCGCGTGAACCCTGCACCCACACAACAGAGTTTTGAGGGTGATATCTACCAGTCAAGGAGATCAGAGGTCCGTGGAGAAGGTTGTGAAAACGACCAGTGTTTTACGGGAGAGGTGAACCCACACACAAGTGGGGGTGCGTGAGGTATGGTGCCGAGAACACTGGAGATGAGTGTTCATATTTTTAGGGGAAATGATCCTTGAGGCACTATGACAGGTTTGCCCCGAAAACAATAGCGTGATGAGTTTACTGGGATTTCCCCCAAGACTTAGACAAAGCCTGATGGCTCTCCCGGAGGGAGATCAAAGAATCTGAGTGGAGCCTGATGGCTCTCCCAGTTATAGGCTGTGGGTGTTAATATTCACCGATGACCTCTGGAGTACAAGGACAGGGGAAATTTCCAGGTGTTATGGATATGCTGATAAGGGTAAAGGTGCCAGACGGAGGATGCAGGATTGAGGATTAAACGGGTTCATACAAGGTGAGGTGCTGTGCAAGTCAGCCTCTTGACTCATCTCCAGGTATTTTCCCAGGCTGGTCTTCTGACTGGCACCCCTTCTGGGGTCATTTGTGGCCAGGCACTGTGCTGCACTTGCGACATCTGGAGTGATATTATATGAAGGGTGTTTGGGCTTCTTTTCTCTCTGGCTGCCAAGTACCCGTCTGCGCGAGGGGTCTGACTGCCAACGGGGGAGGTCTTTCCCATCGCCTAACGCCTGGTCCTTTTAACTGGAGATGCCGGGGATTGAACCTGGGACCTTCTGCACGCCAAGCAGGTGCTCTAGCACTGAGCCACAGCCCCTTCCCTTACCAGAATATGTCCCCCCTCCCCTCCAAAGATAGCAAGTGCAGTACAGTGATGGAAGATCTGGATACAGGGAAACATGCTGAGATAGGCAAGATTTCAGTCCAACAGCACCGACAAGATTTCCAGGGTGTTAGGTTTTGAGGGTCAAAACTCTCTTCGTCAGGGCATAGCTGGCTCACAACTGGCTCACAAAGTAGGATTTTTGCTCACAAGACTCCACAGCTTGCCTGTGAGGTAGGTGGGGCTGAGAGAGCTCCTCCGAGGACTGCTCTTGAGAGAACAGCTCTGAGAGAACTTGTGACTGACCCAAGGTCACACCAGTAGCTGCATGTGGAGGACTGGGAAATCAAACCCGGTTCTCCCAGATTAGAGTCTGTGCTCTTAACCACTACACCAAACTGGCTCCCCGCATGCTCTCTCTAACAGAGAGAGCATGTGGAAGAGTGGGGAATCAAACTCGTTTCTCACAGATGAGAGTCCGCGCTTCTAACCACTACACCAAACTGGCTCTCTTAACCTTTCATTGCTCAGTGATCAGAAAAAGACAGACAAATCTCCTCTCAAGCTGCTTCTGAGAAAGGGTTTGTATACGTACTGTTCTTGGATTGCGGATGAATATTTTTGATCTACCGAAGGAATACTCTTCTTCAGGGATCTCTAGGTCATTGAATAGGACCTCCACTCCAGTTCTGTTAAAAAAAAGCACACCTATGTCTACACACTGTTGTAGCTGCCACAAAGGAACGTGTGACATTTTGGCAACAGGAGACTATAAAACGGGGGGTCGGGGAGAAAGGATGGGCACATAAAAACAGCCAGTGACTTTTCTTTCACTCTGTTTGCAAAAACCTCATGCTCCACAACAGTAAAACTACAGTGCAAACAGACAAGACTTCTGATCTGATAAAAGATTAGCTATTGCTTCAGAACCAGCTTGTGAAATTGCCCAAGCGATGAAGGCACCTTCTTCTGGCTTTAAATGTTTTACACAACATTTAGGCAAAACAGGGCAAAAAGTGGCTATTTGAGAACTGTGAGGGTTTGCCAAGATCCTGAAAACGCTTCTTCCCACAACTGAAAGCCTACAGAGATGATATGGAAATAGCCAGTTGGAAAGAGCACTGAAATGGATTGAAAGTACATTATTTAGAGTGTGTGTGACCATGGCCCCAATCACACAATTAAATAACCACCTAACCCTTGTGTGTCTTTTACTGAATTCTGGATTTCTAGGAAAATGCACACAGAATGATGGTGTCAGGATCGGTCCACATGACTATTTTGCACTAGGTATCCACTTTCCTTTCGGAGTGGGATTTCACTATAGTCACTCGCAAATTAAATGGGTTGTTCTGAAGAGCACAAGCTGAGAACATAAGAAGAGACCTGCTGGACCAGACCAGTGGTCCACCTATTCCAGCATCCTGTCTCCCAGAGTGGCCAACCACTTCCTCTGGAGGGCCAACAACAGGCCATAGAGGCCGAGGGCTTCCTAAGAACATCAGAAGAGCCCTGCCGGATCAGACCAGTGAGGGTCCATCCAGTCCAGCATCCCGTCTCACACAGTGGCCAACCAGTTCCTCTGGAGGGCCAACAACAGGGCAGAGAGGCCGAGGGCTTCCTAAGAACATCAGAAGAGCCCTGCCGGATCAGACCAGTGAGGGTCCATCCAGTCCAGCATCCCGTCTCACACAGTGGCCAACCAGTTCCTCTGGAGGGCCAACAACAGGGCAGAGAGGCCGAGGGCTTCCTAAGAACATCAGAAGAGCCCTGCCGGATCAGACCAGTGAGGGTCCATCCAGTCCAGCATCCCGTCTCACACAGTGGCCAACCAGTTCCTCTGGAGGGCCAACAACAGGGCAGAGAGGTTGAGGCCTTCCTAAGAACATCAGAAGAGCCCTGCCGGATCAGAGCAGTGAGGGTCCATCTAGTTCAGCATCCTGACTCACAGTGGCCAACCCGTTCCTCTGGAGGGCCAACAACAGTGCATAAAGGCCCAGGACTTACTAAGAACATAAGAAGAGCCCAGCTGGATCAGACCAGTGGTCCATCTAGTCCATCATCCTGTCTCTCACACAATGGCCAGCCAGTTCCTCTGGAGGGCCAACAACAGGGCAGAGAGGTTGAGGCCTTCCTAAGAACATCAGAAGAGCCCTGCTGGATCTGACCAGTGAGGGTCCATCTAGTCCAGCCTCCTGTCTCACACAGGGGCCAACCAGCTCCTCTGGAGGGCCTACAGCAGGGCATAGAGGCCGAGGCTTTCCTAAGAACATAAGGCAAGCCCAGCTGGATCAGACCAGAGGTCCATCTAGTCCAGCATCCTGTCTTCAGCGCGTGACCAATGTTCCCTCTAAGCTGAGTTAGTGTGAGCTAGCTCACAGTTTTTTAGCCTCTGGCTCACACATTTTTGTAGTAGCTCAGGAGAAGTGGCTCCAGAGCAAACAGATTTCTGCAGTAGCCAAATGGCTCGCTCACAACTTTAATGACAGTGGCTCACAAAGTAGAATTTTTGCTCACAAGACTCCACAGCTTAGAGGGAACATTGCGCGTGACTGAAGGTAAACTGCAGCAGCCAGTGGTCCATCTAGTCCAGCATCCTGTCTCTCACACAATGGCCAGCCAGTTCCTCTGGAGGGCCAACAGCAGGGCAGAGAGGCCGAGGCCTTCCTAGGAACATAAGACAAGCCCAGCTGGAACAGACCAGAGGTCCATCTAGTCCAGCATCCTGTCTCTCACACAATGGCCAGCCAGTTCCTCTGGAGGGCCAACAGCAGGGCAGAGAGGCCGAGGCCTTTTCCTGAGAAGAACATCAGAAGAGCCCTGCTGGGTCAGACCAGTGAGGGTCCCTCTAGTCCAGCATCCCGTCTCACACAGGGGCCAACCAGTTCCTCTGGAGGGCCAACAACAGTGCATAAAGGCCGAGGGCTTCCCAAGAACATAAGAAGAGCCCTGCCGGATCAGACCAGTGAGGGTCCATCTAGTCCAGCATCCTGTCTCACACAGGGGCCAACCGGTTCCTCTGGAGGGCCAACAGCAGGGCACAGAGGCTGAGGTCTTCCTAAGAACATAAGACAAGCCCAGCTGGATCAGACCAGAGGTCCATCTAATCCAGCATCCTGTCTTCAGTGCGTGACTGAAGGTAAGCTGCAGCGGCCATTTTGTGGTCGGCTCCACCTCCTGCAGCAGCCATTTTGTAGCTTCCTCTGCCACGCGGTGTCAGAATTCCAAATGTGCCCCACAAGATCGAAAAGGCTAGGGGGTCTTGGCTTTAGGGATGTCGATACTTGTAAGGATCCTTACCTGGCAGGGCCTCTCCAGCGGGGCCACGTCTGCTTACAAAGCATCTTGTACCTTTCCAGACAAGGGACGTAGGGCTGCCTGAATGCGTACCCCGCCCTCCTGACCCGGACGTTTTCCAGCAGCCCCAAGTAGCGAGCCTGGTGGCACACCAGGGCCTCGGTGAAGACGTGCGCCGCCTTCTTCTCGTTAGGCTTGATGCACCTGCAAGTCAAAACGGCCCCTCGGTTAAAACACTGAACATAAGAACATAAGAGACGCCAATGTTGGATCAGGCCAAAGGCCCATCCAGTCCAACACTGTGTCATACATTGGCCAAAAATACCAGGTGCCCTCAGGAGGTCCACCAGTGGGGCCAGGGCATTAGAAGCCCTCCCACTGTTGCCCCCCCCCCAAGCACCAAGAAGACAGAGCATCACTTGCCCCAGAGCCCCTATCTATACCTTGTGGCTAATAGCCACTGTTGGACCTCTGCTCCATATTAAGAACATAAGAGAAGCCAATGTTGGATCAGGCCAATGGCCCATCCAGTCCAACACTCTGTCACACAGTGGCCAGAAATACCAGGTGCCATCAGGAGGTCCTGCAGTGGGGCCAGGACATTAGAAGCCCTCCCACTGTTGTCCCCCCCCCCCCAAGCACCAAGAAGACAGAGCATCACTTGCCCCAGAGCCCCTATCTGGACTGTTAACTTGTGGCAAGAGCCACGTTGAGCCGGTTTTCCCTGCCCCCCCCCGGCCAATACTCATACTTCCTTTTTAATGTATTACTAAGTCAGGTTAAGGACGTGTTAAACTGGGCAAATGAATGAAAGATGACAACTGACGATACTAGAGGATCGAAGAAAAGGAGCCGGGAAAGGAGGGGGAATCTATGAGGGTGGTGCTGGGCCCGATACGGTGGGAACAAGCTGAGTCCCCCCCCCCAGAAGCTAGGGTTGCCAGCTCTGGGTCGGGGGAAACCTGGAGATTTGGGGGGTGGAGCCTGGGGAGGGCAGGGTTGGATCACTGCAGGGTATAATGCCATAGAGTCATAAGAACATAAGAGAAGGCACGTTGGATCAGACCAACGGCCCATCCAGTCCAACACTCTGTGTCACACCGTGGCCAAACCCAAGGGGCCATCAGGAGGTCCACCAGTGGGGCCAGGACACTAGAAGCCCTCCCACTGGTGCCCCCCCAAGCACCAAGAACACACAGCATCACTGCCCCAGACATAAGAACGTACGAGAAGCCATGTTGGATCAAGCCAATGGCCCATCCAGTCCAACACTCTGTGTCACACAGTGGTCAAAACCCAGGGGCCATCAGGAGGTCCACCAGCGGGGCCAGAACTCCAAAAAACCTCCCACTGTTGCCAGCACCAAGAAGACAAAGCATCACTGCCCCAGACATAAGAACATAAGAGAAGCCATGTTGGATCAAGCCAATGGCCCCTCAAGTCCAACACTCTGTGTCACACAGCGGCCAAAACCCAGGTGCTATCAGGAGGTCCACCAGTGGGACCAGAACTCTAGAAGCCCTCCCACTGTCGCCCCCCCCAAACACCAAGAAGACAGAGCATCACTGCCCCAGACATAAGAACATAAGAGAAGCTATGTTGGATCAGGCCAATGGCCCATCCAGTCCAACACTCTGTGTCACACAGTGGCCAAAACCCAGGGGCCATCAGGAGGTCCACCAGTGGGGCCAGAACTCCAGAAGCCCTCCCACGGTTGCCCCCCAATCACCAAGAATACAGAGCATCACTGCACCAGGCATAAGAACATAAGAGAAGCCATGCTGGATCAGGCCAATGGCCCATCCAGTCTAACACTCTGTGTGACACACTAGCCAAAGCTCAGGTGCCATCAGGAGGTCCACCAGTGGGGCCAGAACTCCAGAAGCCCTCCCACTGTTGCCCCCCCCAAACACCAAGAATATAGAGTGTCGCTTCCTCAGACTGAGTGTTCCATCTGTTCCTTGAGGCTAATGGCCACTGGTGGACCTCTACACCACATGTTTAACCAATCCCCCCCTTGAAGCTGTCTGTGCTTGTGGCTTTCCTCTGCAGTCTTCCTCAGTGGTCTCTCATCCGAGTACTGATCCTACTGAACTTCCAAAATCTGATGAGATTGTGCTAGTCTGGGCTATTAAGGCTGCTATGAGTCCCATCATGCTTCTAGGCAAAGTACCGTCCTAAATGGACTCCCTCCCCAATACTCTCAGGGGTGAGGGGGACTGCAGGAAGCTCAAAGCAGCAGGCAGCTTGCTTCCATCCAAAGACTCGCCGGGCATAATCCTGCCACTTTCAGTGCCCCCCCAAAAAAATACAACCTATCACTCCAGGGTCTTGCTTTTAACTGGTCAAGGTTCATAGGCGTGTTAGTCTGTCTACAGCAGTACAAAAGAGCAGGAGTCCAGGAGCACCTTAAAGACGAACACAATTTGTGGCAGGGAAGGAGGAGGAGGAGGAGGAGGAGGAGAAGGAGAAGAGGAGGAGATTGGATTTATACCCTGTCCTTCACTTGGGGGCTCAGAGTGGCCTACAAACTCCTTTCCCTTCCCCTCCCCACAAGAGACACCCTGTGTTGTAGGTGGGGCTGAGAGAGCTCTTTCCAGAACTGCTCCTGAGAGAACAGCTCTGAGAGAACTTGTGACTGACCCAAGGTCATCCAGCAGCTGCAAGTGGAGGAGTGGGGAATCAAACCCGGTTCTCCCGGATTAGAGTCCGCGCACTTGACCGCTACACCAAACCGGCTCTCTCTCAAACTGGTAGGAGCTTTTGGGAGTCAATGCTCACTTCGTTGGATTGCTTTTAGCTGAATGCTGCTTCAGAGCAGCTCCCTCCTCCCCACTGAAATCACGACTGTTACACTCTCAGATTTGCTTTCCCTGGGCGTGTTCCCATTGGCTCATGCTAACTGCAAACTGAACCAAGCCTCTAAACCACAGAGGCAACCGGCCAAGACCGCTCATAGGATAGAAATGCGCTTGAAGGTTCAGACACTCTCAGAATTGGCCTGAGTCAGCAAAATGTGCTTAAATTGACCGACTGCCATTACATTATTAGCAATCGACTAATTGTGGGTGAGTAGGCGATGGAACAGTTTCGTGGCCACGGGCTCTCAAGCCGCCCACTGCTAGGAAGCATTCAGGGTTTCGCGACCCCTGGACCTAATAAAAAATGTTATTAGCTCTGGAGTGAAGGTCGAAGCAAGATGACAGATCCCGTTCCCATGACAGGCAATGGAAGAGTTTCGTGGCCACGGGCTCTCAAGCCCGCCCACTGCTAGGAAGCCGCTCCAGAGGCATCGGCAAAACATTCAGGGTTTCGCGACCCCTGGACCTAATAAAAAATGTTATTAGCTCTGGAGCAAAGGCCAAAGCAAGATGACAGATCCCGTTCCCATGACGGAGAGAGTCTAGAATGCACGGAGCTTCAACACCTGAAGGAGGGTTCTACGGAGCCCGAAAGCTTCCTTCCAGCAAGCTGAACTTCGGCTTGTGGGAATAACAAGGCACCGCCGTTCCTTGCAGTGCGGTCCTCGGGAGCCAGGCATGAACACGGCCCTGCTTTCTCAGATGAGTTTTCTGGCATCCATCAGCTACTTTTCCTTCATCAAACTGAAAGCAACCACTTTCTAAACGTGGCTGGCCCTCCCGGGTTTTAAGGAGGCGAGGCTATCGACGACCAGGACCAGGGCTTTCTCGGTGGCGGCCCCATCCTGGTGGAATGAGCTCCAGGAGGAGATCAGGGCCCCGTGGGACCTTTTACAGTCCCGCGGGGCCTGTCAAACGGAGCTTTTCCACCAGGCTTATGGGAGCCACCGCCACCCCCAATGAAGAACACCGGATGGCTGAATGTGAGAGGGCCCTGGATTCCAGAAACTGCCACCACTGCACGGACAATCAAAATGAACGCTCTGAGCCGAGCCGAGAACTCTGAATAATGGCTGCTACTGTCATACGAACAACAATGACAGCAATGAGTTCTGGTCACCACACCTTAAAAAGGATATTACAGCTTTGGAAAAAGTGCAGAAAAGGGCAACTCGAATGATAAAAGGGTTGGAACACTTTCCCTATGAGGAAAGGTTAAAGCGCTTAGGGCTCTTTAGCTTGGAGAAACGACGACTGAGGGGTGACATGATTGAAGTATATAAGATTATGCATGGGAAAGAGCAGGTAGAGAAAGAGGTACTTTTCTCCCTTTCTCACAATACAAGAACTCGTGTGCACTCCATGAAATTGCTGAGCGGTCGGGTTAGAATGGATAAAAGGAAGTACTTCTTCACCCAAAGAGTGATCAACACATGGAATTCACTGCCACAGGAAGTGGTGGCGGCTACAAGCATGGACGGCTTCAAAAGTGAATTAGATAAGCATATGGAGCAGAGGTCCATCAGTGGCTATTAGCCACAAGGTATAGATAGGGGCTCTGGGGCAAGTGATGCTCTGTCTTCTTGGTGCTTGGGGGGGGGGTCAACAGTGGGAGGGCTTCTAATGTCCTGGCCCCACTGGTGGACCTCCTGATGGCACCGGGTATTTCTGGCCACTGTGTGATACAGAGTGTTGGACTGGATGGGCCTTTGGCCTGATCCAACATTGGCGTCTCTTATGTTCTTATGATGACTAGCACTTTACGATGGTTTTAGAATGGTTTTAATTGCAACTTATGCTTTAATGTAACTTATCTGTTTTTATGTAAGCCGCCCTGAGCCAGCTTCGGCCAGGAGGGCGGGGCAGGAATCCGAAAAATAAATAAATAAATAAAACAGAAGTCTCCCAACGTGGCGCCCAACATCTCCTTTTCTGGTACCCATCAAACATTTTTACAAAGCTTCCCTTGCCAGACGTAATGCCGTGCCGTCTGCTATTTTTTCATGGCAGATTCAATAAGAGAGCCTACTCAGCCAGATAATGCCCTTGCAATCAAAAATGTGTGGAGTCCATCACTCATGTTCTTCTCCATTGTCACCTGTATACAGATTTACGTTATATGCATTTACATTCTGTCCTAGTTAGGCTGAGGGACTGGTCTGATGCGTTTAAGGTCGATAGACTTTTGAATGATTTCTCCTCTAACATCACCGAGAAGGTGGCTGAGTTTCTTTACTCTGCTATAAAGGTACGCCGAGGGATCTCACAGAAATCCTCTCATATTCACACTGATGTAGACGTATGTTGCGGTTTTAACTTACCTTTTAAACTGTATTTACTTGTATCAATTTTTTTCTATGCCAGTAAAGGCTACTTAGGCCCCTGCCACACGGGGGAATAAAGTACGGTCAAAGTGCGGCTTTTTAAAGCTGCACCAAAAGAAACACGTGGCGGCGGGATCACATAGATCCCCTGAGCGGCCGCGCAGCTCCTCCCCGGCACGATCAGATGCCGGGGGGAAGCCACTGACGGGAGACCGAGGCTGCCGAACTGCACATGTGTGAGCATGCGCAGTTCAGCCGGGAGCCTGGATTGCTCCAGAAGATGAGCGTGCCGGAGATCGCACGGCCGCGCTTGCTGCGGTGTACCCGGTAAGTCCTCCTCTCCTGTTGTTGTTTTTTTACAGCGCGTTATTGGCCTGAAGGAACGGATTGGGGACGGGTGCGAGCCGATTCCCAGATGTTGCGGTGTGCTCGCGCCCGTTTGCTGCGCCCCCGATCCATCCCTCTCCTGGGCCAAAACTTCCCGTGTGACCGGGGCCATAACTAACTTAACCTAACTTACAAAGCAGGTGGGGTCAGATGGGGCTTTTGCCCAGGGTGTCGTAGGCCAGCCTGCTTTAGCGGCGTTATCACTCAGCTGATGCTGATAACATCCCCGTCAGCACCTCTGAGACCAGTGTTCCCTCTAAGCTGAGTTAGTGTGAGCTAGCTCACAGTTTTTTTAGCCTCCGGCTCACACGTTTTTGTCTCAGCTCAGGAAGGACGGGTTCCAGAGCAAACTGATTTATGCAGTAGCCAAATGGCTCGCTCTCACCTTTAATGCCAATAGCTCCCAAAGTAGAATTTTTGCTCACAAGACTCCACAGCTTAGAGGGAACACTGTCTGAGACTCAACCCGCTGGTGCTATCGACGACCCTGGGATGGCGGAGGCAGGCCCTCGTGCCCCAGTGGCCGAGGACGTCATGTGCTCCATCCCCGTGAGCACTGGGGACACGGAAGAGGCAACCCTGAGAGGCAGCACCTCGGCAACCCAAGATCTTGGGGAGGCTTCACAGGCTGCCTCGCCTCCCCTTTCCCCGGAGCCAAGGGAATGCAGGAGGAGGCGGGCACCCATGGAGCTCCTCGAGAGAGGAGGCAGAGGGCGTGCCTCGCTGCCGTGCGTCTGCCAAATCAAGAGGAACACCTGGGGTTAACGAGCCGAATGGATGGCTCTCTCACAAGCAAGGAGACCCAGCTGTGAGCCGGCCATCAAGGACGGGGCTTCAGATCGGGGAGGTGTGGGAGCAACTCGTCACCTTCCTGGAGACGCGTGACCACACCACCCGGACCTGTTCCTGGCTGCAACTCCTGAACCTTTGGCTTCGACCCCAGACCTGCTCGACCACGCCTCTTGGACCCGCTCAGACTCTGCTTCTTGGACCCTCGGCTGCCTTCCCTTGTGTATGACTCTTGGACTGGACTCTCGACTTAGAGCTTTTGGTTAGTGATTCTGTCTCGTCCCCTCGGTCTCGGCTGAGTCTGCTCTGACCCAGGGCACAGTGAGGCTTCCGATCAAGGACTGGAGATTTGATTGACTCTGCAGATTTGTAAATATGTTGCATTGGCGGCAGCTTCCATCACAGTACAAGGATGTTCACCATGTGACTGAAGGCAAGCTGCAGCGGCCATGTTGTGGCTGGCTCCGCCTCCTGCAGCGGCCATTTTTGTGGCTGGCTCCGCCTCCCGCAGCAGCCATTTTGTGGCTGCCCCCACCCCACTGTATCAGAATTCCAAAGGTGCTTGCAGGCTCAAAAAGGTCGTGGACCGCTGTTCCAAAGCTTCGCTTCATTCCTTAGAAGTTACCTGATGTAGTTGGGGTTTTTGGTCTGCAAGTTCCTCATCAAGGTCGCCACGGAAGACTTGAACTGTGAACCAGCCGTTGGAGGTCTCTTTAAGTTAATCTTGGCAGGGTTTCCTTCCGGGAACAGCGATTTAATGAGGGGGTGGCTGGCTTTCCACATGGCTTGTGACAGATCACGGTACAAGAGGTCATTGTTCTTGTCAACGAATCCTTCCACTTGATACATCACCTAAAAGGGGAAGACCAGGAATCTCAATAAGCAAAAGCAAATTTCGTGAGTCAGAGTGGAGAATCGACTGAAGGAGGCTTGATAATAAACCGCTCACACACCCCAAAGTATTCTTCCTCCATGCTCAACGGTAAACAGCTTTACGTATTCACAGGTTCCCTTCATTTTGGATCGGTCATGAAAAGAAGCAAGCTTGTGGCTTGGCTCTTCGGCACTGTGGCTTGGCTCTTCGGCACTGGAACTACTTGGGTGAAACCAGGAAGGACAGCTGAGCCTTCATGTGATTCTTTTATATATTTTTGAGGTGCATGGCCATGTTGGTCTGTAGTAGAAGAGCAAGATTCGAGTCCAGTAGCTCCATCAAGACCAACAAGATTTCCAGGGTACGAGCTTTTGAAAGTCAAAGCTCCTTTCATCAGCTCGAATGCTTATACCCCGGAAATCTTCTTTGTCTTTAAGGTGCTACTGGACTCCGATCTTGCTCTTCTACTGAAAACCAACATGCCTGTGCAACTCAAAAACATACAAAAGAATAACATGAAGGCTCAGCTGTCCTTTCTGGTTTCACCCAAGTAGTTCCAGTGCCGAAGAGACAAGCCACAGCGCTGAAGAGACAAGCCAAAAGCTCGCTTCTTTTCATGAATGATTCAAAAGGAAGGGAACTTGGGCTGTTTACAATTAAATATTTCTGTACATAAATGCGCATCTCCATATGCACATGTGTGGGTATCTCCTTTCTTGGAACATACATGAAGCGGCCTTATATTTATTTATTTGTATATTAGATTTATAGCCCTGGCCCATGGGGTCGCAAAGAGTCAGACTCGACTGTGCAACTGAACAACAACAACAACCCACGTCCAACAGGGTTCAGAGCGGATAACAACAGTATTCATAAGTTTAATCTATTAAAACAACTCTTACAATACTGTTTCAACCACTATGGTGGCACATAAAAGGAAGTATAACATGGTGCCCCTTATCTAGAGAGGAAATAACTATCATATAGTTAGTAAATAAATAACTATCATATAGATATAGTTATCATAAATAAATATCATATAGTTAGTAAATAAAAGATAGTAAATAAAATATAAAATATAGTTAGTAAATAAAAGAATTAGAGACCAGGGAGGGGAAAAGGGACACGAGAGAAAGGAAGGGGGAGAGGCCAGTTCTGACGTGGCGGCGGTGGCGAGTCGAGCGAGCGAGCGGAGGCTGTGCCGACGGAGCGCGGAGGCGGGGCGATGCAGCAGGCCAGAGCCTACTGGACAGAGGCCGCAGCAGGAACACGTGCTGACGTGCCCTTGGCCCAAGCCTGAGGAATCGCGGCGACCGAAGGAAGACCTGCGCCAGGAAGACGCCATCGCCGGATTGGAAAGACCTCCCGCAGAGAGATTATAACAACAAGACTTCGCTATAGGGTGCCTGTTAGGCTAGTAACTTCCCTCCATTGTATGTGTGTGGCCCTTAGATAGGAATTGTCTGAACTGTATAATGTAAACCGCTCAGAGCCCTTAGGGGGTGAGCGGTATATAAATCGAAGGAATAAATAAATAAATAAATATAAACCATCCTAATAGAAACCGTTGCTGCCCTCAAGCATAGGCCTGGCGGAACACTTCCATCTTACAGGCCATGTAGAATTGCACTAGATCCCGCAGTGCCTGGGTCTCGCTCTACAGAGAGTTCCACCAGGCCGGGGCCACGGCCAGAAAAGCCCTAGCTCTGCCTGACACATACTTTTCGGGCCAGGGATCACCAGTGAGTTGTTATCCACTGAGCACAATGCTCTTTGGGGATATACCAGAAAAGGCGGTATACCGAATCACACCTTTGGTCCATCACAATCAGTATTGCCTACTCGGACTGGCAGCTGCACTCCAGGGCCTCAGGCTGAGGTCTTCCCCATCACTTCCCCATCGCTTTTTCGGCGGCGGCTCCTGTCTGGTGGAACGAGCTCCCAGAGCAGGTTCGGGCCCTGCGGGACCTGGCGCAGTTCCGCAGGGCTTGCAAGACGGAGCTCTTCCGCCAGGCCTTTGTATAGGAGCCGCCGCCGTCACTGTACCACCACCGAGCTGCTATCTTTGATGGTGGGTTAGATCTGGAGGTGAGCCGGCCCTGGGCAGACGCCCGACGAATACATGAAGCTCTCTTATACTGAATCAGACCCTTGGATCATCGAGGTCAGTATTGTCTACTCTGACTGGCAGTGGTTCTCCGGGGTCTCAGGCTGAGCTCTTTCACATCACCTGCTGCGTGATTCTGTTAACTGGGGATGCCAGGGACTGAACCTGGGACCTCCTGCACACACAGCAAATGCTCAACCATGGAGCCACGGCCTTGCCTTAATAATGAATCAGACCACTGGTCCATCAAGGTCAGGACTGTCTACTCGGACTGGCAGACGATCTCCACTTGGTCCTTTAACTGGAGATGCCGGGGATTGAACCCGGGACCTTCTGCATCCAAAGCAGAGGCTCTGCCTCTGAGCCACAGGCAAGGAAGGGGGGCAGAGGAAACGGATGAGTGGCTGTTCCTTTGCCTCTTTGAAGGTCTGCCTCTGCATTCGCATCGCCCACGAGAGCCTCCCAGAATGGTCTCTGTGCGGAAGTAGCCCCCGATGTGTTTTGTCGAGCTGGTAGCCGGATTACGGAATGCCCTTGGCCCTTCTCCAGTCTGAAGCATCTCTGCCAGATATCTGCCAACCTCATTTGGGGAGAGGCAGGACAAAAATGTCATAAATAATAAGTCTAGGCAGGGATCCAGGAGTTCCGTGCGTGAGAGCAGAGAGCGCTCCTGCGCTCGCAAGAAGCCGGCTACCAGGGTGGCTTCCCCCCCCTTCCACTTCCGTTGTTTCCCTCGTACTGGCTCCCATCACGTGGCGCCTTTTAATCTTCAGTTATCCGGGAGAGTAGAAAAGAGCCACAGTCCAGTAGCACCTTTGCTGTTGTTGTTCAGTCGTCCAGTCGAGTCCGACTCTTCGTGGCCCCGTGGACCACATCACGCCAGGCCCTCCTGTCTTCCATTGTGCTCCGGAGTTTGCTCAGTTTCATGTTCGCTGCATCGATAAGTCTCTAACCATCTCATCCTTTGCCGTCCCCGTCTTCTTTGACCTTCAATCTTTCCCAGTATCAGGGTCTTCTCCGGGGAGGGCTCTGTTCTCATTGGGTGGCCAAAGTATTTGAGCTTCAGTTTGGAGAAAGATTTGTTTATTGAGATATGCAGTCATGCAGAGCAGGAAACCATCTTGTGTCAGAACTGACTGGGTTTGACAGGCAAAGTCATCACGGAGGTAGGTACATTTACCTTGCCAGCGTAGTGCTGGATTCGGAAGCAACTGTGGGGCAGGGAGGTGTCGTTCAAGAAGCGCGAGCACTTGCTCATCCGGCTTTCGAAGTGCTGGTGGGTGGCACAGACCTGGTTCAGCTTTTCCAGGAAGGTGTCGTCGGTCACCACGCCAGGCCGCAGGCATTCCTCATCTAGCATGGCCAGGATCCCGTTCTGATTCTGCCGAGAAGGTCAGATTCGTACACAACGGTGAACATTCCCAGCCCAACAATGAGAAGCCACAACAGATGTTAGCAAACCAAACCTCCAGTCTTAAAAGAAGAAACATGTATCCCACACGAAGCTGCCTTAAAACGAGTCAGATGGTCTGTCTTCAGAATATTTTACCTCATTTAACTATCTAGTCCAGCGGTGTCAAACATGCGGCCCAGGGGCCGCATCAGGCCCCCGGAGGGCTTCCATCAGGAGGAGGAGAATGGATTTATACTCCACCCTTCACCAAATCACTCTTAGAACGGCTTACAATCTCCTTCCCTTCCCATCCCCACAACAGATACCCTGTGAGGTAGGCGAGGCTGAGAGAGCTCTCTCGAGAACTGCCCTTGAGAGAACAGCTCTGAGAGAACTTGTGACTGACCCAAGGTCACACCAGCAGCTGCACGCGGAGGAGTGGGGAATCAAACCCGGTTCTCCCAGATTAGAGTCCGCACTCTTAACCACTATACCAGACTGGCTCTTTGCCAGCAGTTGCCAGAACAGCGGACGTGTGACTGAAGTTAAGCTACGGCTGCCATTTTGGGGCCGGCTCTGCCCTCTGCGGCAGCCATTTTGGTGCTGCGCCCACCACACGGTGTCAGAATTCCCAAGGCGCCCGCAGGTTCAAAAGGGCTGAGGATCCCTCCTCCATCGAATCTAACTAAATGACAACACCAGAAGAAGGACACTGGAGAAAAGCATGTCACCCATTTCATACTCGGAACAGTGACCATGACTTACGTTTTCTATTAGGTCACAAATGATGGCGTTGTTGAAGTACTCGATGTGGGTCCATTCGATGCCCTACGGAAAGCAAACAGAGAGATAAAACAGTGGCAGGGAACACTTTCTAAGGATTGCCGTAGGCAGGCCAGACACAAGCGTGCCTATGCAGAACTCAGATGCCAGTGAGTTTGATTTGATGTGCCATTCTCACACAAAGCAAGCTTAGGACTTCGGCTTAAAATCCTTATTTATTGAAGGGATTTTAGATGGGCATTATTACTACTGAAGAGGGGGGAAATGATTGTTGAGATCCACTCAGTCTCACAAACAATGCAAGTGGGCAGTGTTGCCAATAGGCCTGGAGAAAAAATATCCTGCCCCTTTAAGAGAAGCGAAAGGTGTGGAAACGGGCAGGGAGGCAAACAGCAGTCGCCTGGGAAACAGCATCCTATTAAGCCTCTTTTAAAGAGACAGGACATTTTTTCCCCCACCAGGCAGTCCGCAACCCTAACACCATGACCACCATCTCTTTTCTTCCTGCTTCCGAGATTATTTTTTTGAAGTTTAACATCCAGCCTGAGGAAGAATTCTGATTCATGCATTACTATGTGGCACTTTAATTGGTCTTCATAAAGGTATTTATGCTGCACTGGTCTTCATAAAGATACTTAGGTTCTACTGTTAATTTTTTAAAAAAAATTAGCATTAATAGTACACGGCTCTCCCTTTGTCACTCTTGCCGTGGACAGTTTCCAGAGACGATATGAAGAATGCCTCTTGTGTTCCAAGCTACACTTCCTTGCTTGTATTATTAACTACTTTGGGTGCTACGAACTCTCTTGCTGGAGACAGAAGTTGGAATGCGTGACTTTTCTGCCGCAGCTAAGAGGACAGCATGGTTGGGTGTGAGTGTGTTAAGCGCCGTCAAATCACTTCCGACTTATGGCAGCCCTATGAATTATTGACCTACAAAACATCCTATTGTTATGTGCGTGTATGTGTGACAAACACACAGGAGTCATTTCCTGCAGGAGCGCACAGGAGCGGAGCTCCGGCAGTAAAGAGCCCAGGGGGGCGGGCACATGCAACAAGCCCCACCCCCTGCTCCCAGCAGTCCTCAGTCAGAGCAAGAAGCAGCCAGGTAAGCTGCAGAGCTCCCCCCCCCCGGTCCAAAACAGTCCAGTGGCACCTTTCAGACCAAGTTTTATTCAGGTACAAGCTCTCCCTCCTTTGCGAGGACAGATCTGCACGTCCCCCCCCCCCAATAGCTAGCAATCCGAAACAGTCCAGTGGAGCCTGAGTGGTGGATGTTGCCTTCTGACACACTTCCGGTGATATCAGGGGGTGTGGCATATGCAAATGAGTTATGCTAATGAGCTACTGCACCTCTTTTTCTACAAAATGACCCCTGCATACACACACAATACACATACACACACACACAAATGCATGCCCCATGTTTTCACTGTAGCCAGAGGTCTATGGACAGTACATCTGTGGAGGGAACTGGGAAACTGCTAAGATTTCTGGGTGAAATCTTCCATCCCCCCTTTCCATGTATAAGGAGAACATCAACAACCAGCCACTGTGACATGTCCTTTGGAATCTTCAGGGGGGGGGGGTCGACTGTTAAGTTCTTATGTCTCAACTGCAGCACGTTTTTGTAAGCCAAACATTTACTTCCTTGAACTCATTAGCATAATAGGCCACACCCAACAGCAGAAACACATTAGGATTGGCTACATTAGGGGTGTGTGGCCTAACATGCAAAGGAGTTCCTGCTACAAAAAAGCCCTGGGTTTTGACAACAAGCAAGGTAAACAGAATAAGAAGCAAAAGGTGGGTGCGGCTGGATGACCACACTTCTGGTAACATGGGGGTGCAGCCTAATATGCTAATGAGCTGTGCTGTCAGGGGTGTGGCCTAATAGGCTAATGAGTTTCTGCTCTTGGGTGTGGCCTATTATGCTAATGAGTTCCTGCTGGGCTTTTTCTACAAAAAGAGCCCTGGCTGCTCTTCTATGTGTTCTGATAACTTTTCCCCTAGGAACATTAGCCTGCTCAGTGATGGACTATGGAACTGAAGATTGTAAGGCATTAAGGACTGGGGGAGAAGTGTGGTATGGAAACCAGAACAAAAAACATGTAAAGATGACAGTTTATATAAAGTTTGAGTCCAGTGGCACCTTTAAGACCAACAAAGTTGAATTCTGGGTATAAGTTTCCATTCTGAAGATGTTAGATTCAGGTGGGTAGTTGAATTCTGGGTCTGAGCTTTTGTGTGCATGCACACTTCCTCAGATACAGAGGACCAACATGGCTGAATTTCTCTACTCCATATAAGGCTTAAAGAAGTCTGTTTTAATGTGTAGGAAGAAGTGCACATGCACATGCACATGAAAGCTTATACTCAAAGGTGCCACTGAGCTCAAACTTTGTTCTGTTTCTTCAGACCAACACGACTACCCACCTGAGTTGTTTTCGTACACATGCATTATCACAAAGGGAGGTGGAGGCAGTGACTTGAAAATATTTCCATGTGGATTGGAGGTCTCTTTCATTGATAAGGGGATGGAGGGTCTCTGTTAAAATACCACCCCCCTGCCCCCCCCTGCATCAAAATTATATTTGTGGCTTTTTGCATTTTGTTCAAAACCGCAGCAACCGCTCAACATCACTGGAGCCAAATGCGCATCCCTAAACGGCTGCCAGATTTGCTTACCATTCCATTCTCCATCTGTGTCAATTTCCCATGCACTCACTGAAACCGAGCCAAATCCTTTTAGCGCAAAGCTGAGAGTCAATCGTGCTTTTGCGCAACCCTGCAGCGTTCGTAAGGGAAACGCCGTCGTTTCTGTGCGGGAAGGAGCCCTCCGACTTTTTGGTCTAATTTTCATCTGGCGACTGGCGGGGGGTAACCCGCTAAATCTAAGGGACACTCCCTGAACAGACAGCGCAGCCGCAGTCCGGGGTGTCCCCAAATCAAGGTCCAAATGACAAACAGCGACACTGGAAAGCTCTGCTCCCTCTACGCTGTGGAGTCTTGTGAGCAAAAATTCTACTTTGTGAGCTACTTCACAAAAGTTGCGAGCGAGCGATTTGGCTACTGCATCAATCAGTTGGCTCCGGAGCCATCCTTCCTGAGCTAAGACAAAAATGTGTGCGACAGAGGCTAAAAAGCTGTGAGCTAGCTCACACTCACTCAGCTTAGAGGGAACACTGCTGGAAAGCGTACTTCGATACACAAGCCATATCCCTCCTTCCTGAGTTACCCAGGTGTGGGTTTTGCCCCTAGTCTGCTGAGCCGGGGATCAGGCAGCAGTGTAGCGCCAGGGAAATCAAACAGGAAGTGTTTGGCACCTTAAAGATTCCCGGCACTTCTCAGGCGTGTGCCCAGGCGCGGAAAGCTGCACACTTCCTGAACCCTGTCGCAAGATTTACAGTCCTCTGTTTCCGAGATTCCACTGGGTTCAAGGAGAATAAGAAAATATTTTCTCCACACCCAAGTCCCCTTAATTCTCACATGGGGACTGGGGAGGCAGTCCAGATGTTGGCCCAACTCCTCGCCAGATCTCGATTCAACGGCCCCCTTGATCCTGCCCTAGAGTGTCACAAATGCCATCTACTATGGCACTTGTATCAACCACACTCTAGCTGATTCTTATAATGACAACACTGTCTCAAAAAAGATTGGAGTATATTGACATCCTGGAGTGGGATAGATGGGAGTGCTCTGAATCCAGTGTGGTGTACTGGCTAGAGCAGTGATACTCAGTGGCTGACATGCCATGCGTGGCTCTTCTGAGTACCCTTCCCCAACGTGGCACCTTCCCTGTGTTTCAGAAAAGTGGACAAGGCCCGTGTCTGGTGGGGCTTGTGGTTGCCAGTTGGTTTCCACCTTGAAACAGCCACCACCAGAGGAACGAGTAAGCTGCAGGCCTCCCTAGAAGAAAAAAAGAGATTGGATGTGTACCCCGCCCTTCACTACCCGAAGGAGTCTCAGAGTGGCTTACAAACTCCTTTCCCTTCCCCTCCCCACAACAGACACCCTGTGAGGTAGGTGGGGCTGAGAGAGCTCTGACAGAAACTTCTCTTTTTCAAGGACAGCTCTTATCAGAACTATGGCTTGCCCAAGGCCATCCAGCTCATGCAAGTGGAGGAGTGGGGAACGGATAAAACTTCTTCACCCAAAGAGTGATTAACACATGGAATTCACTGCCACAGGAGGTGGCAGCGGCTACAAGCATGGACGGCTTCAAAAGGGAATTAGAGAAGCATGTGGAGCAGAGGTTCATCAGTGGCTATTAGCCACAAGGTATAGATAGGGGCTCTGGGGCAAGTGATGCTCTGTCTTCTTGGTGCTTGGGGGGGTCAACAGTGGGAGGGCTTCTAATGTCCTGGCCCCACTGCTGGACCTCCTGATGGCACTGGTATTTCTGGCCACTGTGTGACAGAGTGTTGGACTGGATGGGCCTTTGGCCTGATCCAACATTGGCGTCTCTTATGTTCTTATGTTAACCCGGTTCTCCCAGATCAGAGTCCATGCACTTAACCACTACACCAAACTGGCTCTACCCTAAGGTGTAGGCCTCAGGCCCATCTAGTCACACATAGAGTTTTCCCCTCAAATGGCTGTGGCCCCGCCCCCTGACGTGTACGCCGGGGTGGGGTTTCCTCCAAAGCGTGGGGAAATCCGCCCCCCGGGGGGACTTGGCAGCCCTAGATAGCCTTCAGAATGGTTCTACCTGACAGAACCGCTCCAGAATGGAACTCAAATTCAAACTGACTCTCCCCTCAGCTAGTTATATATTTCCCTCAGTGGGCACTGAACAATCAGAGAAGAGGAGCAGCATGTTGGTTTATCAATCAAATCAATCAATCGAATCAATCAATCAATCGAGCTCCCCATTTTAGGGGAAAGTTAACTCTTTACCTCCCGGCCCTCTGATTTAGCTGCACTATGAAACCTGCTTTTAAAGCGTGGTCCGTCACAAAGTAAATAAGGCTCTTTTGGCTGATGGGTAATTTTGAATGTGGCTTTCCTCAAGCCGTGGAGTTGAGTACCACTGGGTTAGAGTAGCTGATTAGGGTCAAGGAGACCTAGGTTCGAATCACTGCTCTGCCATGGAACCTTGCTGGGTGGCCTTGGGCCACTCACTTTCCTTCTCAGCCCAACCTACCTCGCAGGGTTGATGTGGGGAGAATGGAGGAAGGGAGAAAAACGTCAGCCACGTTGGGTACCCACTGGGGAGAAGAGCAGGGTGCAAATACCTAACCGAACAAACAAATTTGGATCCAGCTCAATCCGGACGTGACGTGAATCGAGAAAAATATAAAACCACGGGAAATACGGTTACCATCAAAAACGTGGCTGGAACACACAAAAAATTCTTAAGGCATAGGTAGAAGTGGACCATGATGAACTACGGTTTAAAATGTGCCTGATTATCACAGTAAATGTGGTGGAATTTTTGCAGTTATCAGAATACAAACGCAACATAGCTATCGACAGGTTTGCCTACAATGTATATTCCATTTGGACCTAACGTCTGCCGGAAAATAATTTCACTGAATAAGCACAGTCATAGAAGACGGGACGTTAATATGGGTCTTAGCACAGCTAGTGGAATCCTATATGTAAGGAGCTTGATAATTTAGGCCTCAAGTTCTAATAAGGTGCCTGGGCTTTCTTTCAGAACTCGATCGTTGGCATTCTGGCCTATTCAGAAGTGCTCCAGTTGATTAGCAACACCTGTGAGCAGTTTCTGTTCCTTGAAGATTCAACCTTGGGAGACTGTCTTATGGAGTCACCTCCCTAGTTTCCCGATCACAGCAGACGCTAATTAACCGGATGGCCTTGACTGGCTATTGAGTTGCTGGGTAGTGCCCTGATTGTCAGAAAATATGCAGGACTTCTGCTCTCTACCCCCTTTCCACCTTGGCATGTCGCCATGCTATACCAGCTAGGCATGGGGGGGTCTGTATCCTGTCAGATGGGTAAGACGGGTGACCGAAGCAGAGATGCTTGAAAGAAGTAAGATCTAAAAGCTTTCAGACAGGCAGGCTTTATGTATCTATACTGAAGTTTATTTGTTTTATGTTCCTTTGCCTGCAACTGAGTGATTTATGCTTCTGCAACACTCATTAAGATAACAAATTTGATTTATATTTCAAGCCGGAAGGCAGGTGCACCCCCTGAACGAACTCTGCCACGGCCTCTCATGGTTACAAAATTAAAAAAAGGGAGCGCCTCTTGCCTGCCTGACTCCTGGAGTGGCTGTTTTCAGCGCCCGGAGTAGGAGATTTGGGCCCTCTTATCCTGACACTGCGGCTAACAAACTGGGCAGGAAGGCGGACCCTCCCCCCTTCAAGGTTCAAAGTTCACCAATGAGAATGGGTCAAGTTGTTATCTCTCAGCCACATCTACCGCATGGTAGGCTGTACAGCAAACATAGGAAAGGTGAAATACAACATTTTTTTAAAAAAATAAAACACACCTTCCCCACAGCGCCCCCATATGAACATAACAGAGAGACAAGGAGTCTTAGGATCAAGCACTTGGGTTTTGGACATCTGGTAATAAGGCAACAAAATAAGTCGGTTTACAGCCGCCACGCCTGCAGTCCTCATCTTGACTTGTACTGGAAGGATGTTCTGCATTTATCTTCCATTTTGTCTGGCACGCCCTGACATCCCTGTGTTTGGCTTCAGGGCTTCTTGCTTTCATTCTTCATCAGCGCGGCATGAGACCTGACTAGGTCATCACAACCGGCAAGGAGAAATGATAAAAGCTTTTAAGGCGGCTCGTTAACGGCAACGAAAGACGCCAGACTGCACGGAAGGCATGGATTCTGGGTAAACTGTGAAGGACAGCCTCCAACCACAGCAGCCAGTGTGGTCCTTCAGCAGGAACAAGGTCTGAGTTGGGCAGCCTGGGACCCATGAGAAGGCTTTTCTAGCTACTATCCAGCTAAAATGACTAAACTGTCGTTCAACACGGTAGGAAGGCCCAACAGGACATGCGTTGACCCAATCAAGGAAGACACAGTCTTCCGTTTACAAGACCTGAGCAAAACTGTTAACGATGGGACATTTCTGTTACACACGTGTTTTGCTCCCTCTAGTGGCCGATTCGCTATTACACCACTTTACGTCTGGCATAAAACCCTGCAGTTTAAATTTGCAGGGAGCTACACTGAACATACACCAATGTAATTTTGGAGGTAATTCATTCATAGGGTCGCCGGAAGTGACTTGATGGAACATCACATACACCACCCTCCCTGGTTGTAGACCTCCATGCACATGTGCACACGCACACAGAGCGGCACCACCCCTACAGACATTCCAGATCAAATTAAAGACTTTCAAGGGTGCTTTCGCACACACTAAATAATGCAGTTTCAATCCACTTTCAGTGCACTTTGCAACTGGATTTTGCCATGTGAAATGGCAAAATCCTCTTACTCTTACAAATCCCCTTACAAATCCCCACTGGTGGACCTCCTGATGGCACTGGTATTTTTGGCCACTGTGTGATACAGAGTGTTGGACTGGATGGGCCTTTGGCCTGATCCAACATTGGCGTCTCTTATGTTCTTAAATGGTCGCTGAAGTGGATTTGAAACTGCATTATTTAGCGTGTGTGAAAATACCCAATTTGTTTTCCCTCAGAGGCTTCGGAACAGGCCGGAAATCACGGGGCCACACCTTTTGTTAACATCCCTGAGCTTCTTTTTAGATGTTTTATGGTGATCTTATCTACACGGTTCTGTATCTTTTTTCTTAGTCACCCAGACGACTCATGGAGTGGAAAGGCGGCCATACGCCTTCCAACCACACAGATACAAATCAATGCGAAGAAGAACACATGAAACCAAGGAGCATTACCTCTCGTATGTACTCTTCTTGCTCTTCCTTCAGCGTAAGCTCGATGAAGATCTGCTGCAGCTTCTCGTTGCAGTAGTTGATAATGAACTGCTCGAAACTGTTATCCTGCGAAACGAAAGAAAGGGAAGAGCGACAGTGGTCGGACACAGGACTCAAGAGAAATGTATTTCGATACCCTGTGCTCTTAACATTGGCAGCATGGGTCTCCACAGCTTGCTGGGGGTTTTTACAATTTACCTGTCTCCTGGATTTAGAATTTGTACACCCGGTCCAGGGATGGCCAATGTAACTGAAGCCCATCAGGCTCCGGAAGAACTGGTTGGCCACCGTGTGAGACAGGATGTTGTACTAGATGGACCCCTGGTCTGATCCAGCAGGGCTCTCAAATCAACTACTGCCCATCCAGGGCTATTTTTGGGCAGGAACGAACAGGAATGGAGTTCCGGCTGGCTCCTAAGTTGGCCAC